TCTAGCTCAACATTCAACCAAACAATAGACAGGTTTAGAAGAATCTTAATCTTTTTCACTGATTTTGTAGGAAAGGGTCACCATCCTGGTATTAATGTTTAAGAGGGCAGCATCTGTCAAGAGATAAAATTTAAGAGATAGGAATAGCTATGATAGATTAATGGACAAGAGACTCATAGGGAGGAAGTGAGAACAATGTGGTACTGAAATATCATAAAGCAAAATGTGCTTTATAGTTGAATGGAAAACTAACCTGCTTTACAGACTCTAAATAATGACTCAAGTATCTCTCTCACAAGTATCTCTCTCTCACACGCAATTTTAAAAATGCTTAAAATGTAACATCCAATTTACTTGTTTAACTTTACAGAGATGTGTTAATATCTAGGTATAAGCCTCATTATAACATGGTTTGCATCAGAAAGATGGACAATGACTACAGATGAAAGGAGGAGAATTGATGCCTTTGAGCTGTGGAGCTGAAGAATTGATTATACCACAGACAGCTAAAAGAACAAGCAGGCTTGTCCTAGAGAGGGTGAAACCAGACCGTTCCTTGGAGGTAAGGATTCTGAAGCTTCGTGTGACATACTTTAGGCATGCTGCAAGGAGGGACCAGTTCTTGGAGAGGAACATCATGCATGAAAGGGTGGAGGGACAGTATAAGAGAGGAAGACCCTCAGTGAGATGGACGGACTCACTGACTATAGCGTAATGGGGGTAGGTGTGTCAGAAATAATACGGTTGGCTCAGGATAGGGCAGGGTTTAGAGCTGTCATAGGGTCGCTAAGAGTTGCAGGCAAATTGACAGCACATAACAACATACTAGTCAATTTCACCCTTTCCTGTTTTTCATTCTGAATTTCTCTCCATTATACCATCATTTACTTATCTAAAACTCTTAAGAAAATGGATTTATTAAGTCAGGTGGTTGAGAGGTGCTGTTGAGTACAACTCATAGTGACCCTATGAACCTTGTTCTATCCTGTGCCATCCTATACTTCCTAAAACACAAGAGTCCACTGCAGCAGTCACCATCAATACACCTAGGTGACAGTGTTCCTCTCCACCAACCCTCCATCCTTTCCAGCATCATGTCCTTCTCCAAGGAAAGTCAGGTAAGAGACACTTATTCCTAATTTAAACACTATTATGAGTTTGGAGAAAACAGGTCAATTCCACTCCTTGGCAATTTTCAGTTACCTCATTCACTGTAAATATCGGTCTACCTGAGTTTTCTAAATATCTCCAAAACCTGATTCCTGGAGGTGCCTTAAAATGATTAATTCTTCCTATCTAGGGAAACCTCCCAATAATTTTTCTTTTCTAGGGAAACCTCCCAAGCCATTATTAACATTACTAACAGTCAGTATAAGCTGCTTAGATAACCTACCATACACTATGACAGACAGAGAAGAGATTGGGGTTGTTAACAATTACAGCTTGCTCAGGTTCACAGTCAACATGCTTGGCACCAGCAGCCAGGAAATTAAAAGACAAATTGCACTGGGAAAATCTGCTGTCAAGGACTCTCCAGAGTACTGAAGAGCAACGATGTCAGTCTAGAGACTATGGTATGCCTAATCCAGGCCATGGTCTTTGCAATTACTTGCTATGTATCAGAGAACTGGATGTTAGAATCTAAGGATGGTAGAATCATTATCTATGCCTCTGAATTATGGTACTGGAGAAGAGTCTTGCACATACCATGGATGGCCAAAAAACAAGTTTGTCTTGGAGGGGGTAAAACAGACTTTCTCCTTGGAGGCTAGGATATTTTTTTCCTTTTCTTGTTATGTACCATTGAGTCAGATCTGAGTGGCATAGGAGAAGATTGCCCCTCCATCTCCAGTAGAGCATCTGTAGGGCATCTGGTGGATTAGAACCACATGCCTTTGGGACTTCAGTGCAGCTTCTTGCTATTAGGCCACCAGAGCTCCTTGGAGGTTAGGATTTTGAAGCTTCATCTCACATCTTCACCTGGCTTATGGCCAGATGGCTTGTACTTGGAGAAGGACATCATGCTCAGAAGGGTGGAGAGACAGCATAGGAGAGGAAGATTTTGCAGGACAGGAAGATCTCGGATGAGATGGAGTGATATCATAACTAGGCCAAGAGGGGTTGGTGTGTCAGAATCAGTGAGACTGGCTCAGGACAAGGCAGGCTTCAGTACATAGGGTCACAGGCTACTTGACAGCACACAACAACTGCTGTTGTTTGTCGTTATGTGCCATCAAGTTGCTTGCGACTCATAACAACCCTAAGTACAACAGCCCTAAACCCTGTTCTATCCTGTGCCAATGACATACCCATCCTGATTACCCCAGTCACTGAATCAATCCACCTCATAGAGGGTCTTCCCCTCTTGCACCGTCCCTCCACCCTCCCAAGCATGATGTCCCTCTCCAAGGACCTGTCCCTCCTTATAACATGTCCAAAAGTGACAACAGGTAAATAAACTCACTGGTTAAGAAAACTATAAAGGGAAGAAAGAAGCAGAAATGTTCATGAAGTTGAGAAGCAAAATGGAATAAAAAATAGTAGAAATTCTAAAGACCAAATTTAATGTACACTTACAACACAGATAAGAGTCACAATAGTTCTGGCAGAATGACATTAGTAAGAATCAAAGTTTAACCACACAATCAGTACAAATATACTTTGAAAATCACTATTTCAAAAGAAAGTAAGAAAGCAGATAATTACTTTCTTTTGTAGTTCTTTCTTGCTGTGAGGCTGAACACCTTGACATTGGTGTGTCAAATGAGTTGATGATTAGCTACCCAATGCTGACAGAGAGTGGGGTGGAGCTCCTCCTCCATTAAAACAAGCTTGGAAGGAGGAGTGGCATCCCTTCCATAATAGCTTGTCTCCAGAAACCCTATGAACCTGGAGAGAGGATGAAAGGCACCCAAGCTTCAAGGACTCTCCTTCATAGGGTCACTATGAGTTGCCTGCAACTCGACGGCACTTAACAACAACAACAAACAAGTTCTTATTAAATTTACAAATTTTGTTTAATATTTTAAGTCAGGCAAGAGATTTAACAATGGTTTACATGGTTCAATTCCTTAGCTGTCATTTAATGGCTATTATTATGTGTGAAAAAATATTATTAATTAGGGCTTTCTTAGAATAACAGAAGTTACCAAGCTCATAGCCTCATTTAACTTGAGTTACAAACTAAAACGCCCCTTATCAGCTTTAATGTACATTTTTTTGTCTGTAAATATAAAAAAAGCAATTATGAAGAGCATAATTAGGTCAGTAAGTATGGTTAAAACAGAAAAAAGGAAAAAAAATACTTTGTGTAACTGAAACTATTTTAAAGGAGAACAGCTACAGAATCCAGTTCTATATACTATGTATATTCTTGTTTGTACATCAACTTGACCACTTTAATTCTTTTAGTTAATTTACAAGCCCAAACCTCCTGACCAAATTACCAGTTTGCTCTAAGCTCTTGTCCTCTTACTATTTCTATTTCCACACTTCCCATTCAATCAATTAACTTACAGCCTTCGACATCTAGAATAACCTTCATTTTCTTAAAGCAAAACCATTCTTCAGGAATCTCTCTCACTGGCACTCTTGCTGCAATCAATCTGTTGCTGTCAGGTGCTGGCAACCCTATGAACAAGATAGAAATCCTCCTCTGCCAAGCTTACAACATCAAGCTGGTTTTAAGCACTTTGTTGCAACCACTTTGTCAAGTCATCTTGAATCTTTTTCTCTTCTGACCTTCTAACTTTCCCAGTATGATCTTTTTCCAAAGACTGAATCTTCCTAATAATATGCCCCAATATGTTACACAAAGTCTCATCATCTTTGCCTGTGAAGAGTACCCTGGTTGCACTTCTCCCAAGACAGACTTGTCCATGGGATAGATATCCAGTATTGTCAATATCACCTTTCAAATTCATCAAACTGTACTCCTAGTCAAGCCCCGAGATAAATTTATATTCTCCTTTGACTTTCCTGAACACACAATATTCTTTTTAGCTACTACATCATAAAAAAAACCAACCAAAATCAACAAACAAAACGCCCTACATCTACGACTTTAACTTCATATACTTATTTCATTGATCTATGTGTTAAGTCGGTCCAATTTCCAGAGGATATTCAGAGGTGCGGTATATATGTGTGTGTGTGTGTATATATATATCTCCCCCAAGGGAGGAGACTGCATAACCTTCTCCGGGTAGATTCGAACCGCGGGCCTTGGGGGCTGTAGAGCTATTCCCCCTCCCCCCCGTAGGCTACCTGAGCCGCTATTAATAATTTAAACAATATTAAAATGCAGTGGCCAAAGAAAGAAAAATTGCTACTACATGTTAAACTATAATGAGTATGTATGTATGTGATGGATGCAGTGTACGTACCCAAACTTGAGGGTATCTCATTACATAACTGTGCTAAACAGGAAAAGCTTTAAAAGAAGAAAGAAGTGTGTGATGGTGGGTACATGAAGCAAGCCCATCAGCAGACTTCCAGACTTAGGTTATATTTATATAACTTAGGTGTTAGAACAACGCCACTCCCCCGTCCTCCCACCACCTTTCTCCTCTGCCTCGGTCTGTGTGACATTGACACACAGGATCACAGCCAAGGCTGGGGAAAACTAAGAGCAAAGGAATCCAGTCTCTCCTCTGTGACTTCGGCACCCCCTCCACACTGGGAGGGCCAGGAGAGACTGGAAATCCCACGCGAATTCAAAAGTGGCCTGTGAGCGCGGAACCACGTGCGCGCTGGGGGGCGGCTGCGGGCGGCGCTCGGCTCCGGGGAGCCGCGAAGAGAGCCGGCGGGATGCCAGGTGGCCGAGAGCGCCCCGAGGTGGCCGGCCGGCGGGAACGGCGCGCCGGGGATTCGCGGGAGGCCCGCTTTCTCCGGGCGACCAAGCTGGGGGGGGGGGGGGGGTGGGGGGGGGCCCCTTTTCCGGGGGGGGGAGGGGGGGGCGAGGAGGGGACGAGAGTACTGGCTGGAGGCGCGTCACTTACCGTCCGAATTGGTTTCGGGATCGAAGCGTTGGCCACAGCCCCGGTTGTAGCACAGGAGGGCCATACCTTTGTTTCCCCTCACCGTTACAAGTAAACCCAAGTTGCCAAGAGCCACAGCAAAGTGTTTCTAACTGCCCTGTCGCAGGTACCGTATGACTGGACGCGGCGGAAGCCGACTTCCGGAAACGGCGGGTTCCGCTTCAGGAACGTTCGCGAATGTTCCGGTCGCGCAGGCGCAGAGGGGGGAGGGGCGGAGGAAGGGGCGGGAGCTGCTGTAATCAGGCAGTTCTGGGTTCCGCTGAATCTCTGCTCATTTTTAGAAAAATTCACGGCTGTTGGTATTAAAAGGAGACTTAAATTGAAGATAATGAGGGTAGCGAGGTGAAGCACCCTCTCTGCTGGAATTTAGTGCCTGCTTACTGGCTGTTTGTCCTGCGGCCAAATCTTCCCCTTGGCCGCTTCTCTTGCGGCTGAATTACTCAGCACTGTTGATGTCTTTTACCCCTGATCTGAGAATAGGTGCAGAATTAGGCACCATTTCCGAATTCTGTGAATAAATTGTGGAAATTTAGTAACCGATAAGAATGGTGAACAAGTCTCTGAATTTAATTGTATCTCTCATATCCTTATCTGAGCATTTACCTGCAGCGTTTTAATTATTCCCCCCAGAATAGATAAATATGCTTGTACAGTTATTACGTGAAGGTCCTACGGGTATGATCATGAGTGTTGTTTCTTTCACCTGCCGATATCTGATCTTCTAATCGGGAGCAATTTAAATAATTGCTGCCGCAGGAGAGGAAGACCCTCGATGAGATGAATCGATTCTGTGATCCGGGAGGTGGGAATGACTGTGTTTCAGACAGCGAGGTTGGCACAGGATAGAACGGCGTTTAGGGCTCTTGTACATAGGGTCGCTGTGAGTCACAAACGACTCGATGGCACATAACAACAAGCAAATTCAGTCTAACGGTTAAGGTGCACCTGAATCCAGGTCATGATATTCACAATTAGTTGTTATGCGTCAGAGAGCTGGGCAGTGACTAAGGATGATGGAAGAAGAATTGGTGTCTTTGAGCTGAGGTACTGGAGGAGGGTATTGAATATAACATGAACTTTTATGAGAACAAACAGATCTGTCCAGGAGAGGGAGAAACTAGACTGCTCTTTGGAAGCAGGGATTTTGAAGCTCCATCTGACATACTTTGAACATGTTGCAAGGAGGGACCAGTCTTTGGAGAGAAACATCTTGTTTAGAATGGTGGAGAGGCAGCACAAGAGAGGAAGGCTTTGGATGAGACTCAGTGACTGGGGTAATCAGAGAAGATGAAATTGGATCAGGCAGAGCAGGGCTCAGAGCTGTTGTGCTTAGGGTTGCTGTGAGTTGAGCTGACTTGATGGCAAATAACAACAAGCAAATGGCAGCAGCTAGTCAGTGAGAGAAAGATGAACAATCTCTTCCCATACCATATACAGTATCTGAAAACCTTCTGGAGGATCAACTATGAGTCCCTTCCTTCTGAAGGACGCATAACAACAATTATTGTGAAAGTATAAAGCACTTAAAAAATCAGAAAAGCAAGTAATTTGGAAAATGCAGCGCTATAGTAAGAAAATGGACTGCATCTAGTGATAAGTACTCTCACTAAAATAACTGAGAATCTTTTCAGTGGGTCTTTCCCATAAGTATGTATTCTCACTTACTGCCTTGACTTGAAATGATGTAAACCGACTGTCCAGTGATCTTTCAGAAGCTTTATATTACAGGAGAGATTTGTCCATCTTTCTCTCTCAAAGCAGCTGCTGAATTGAAGTCAACAAAGAGTTGTCCTCTTTGAGATAGTAATAGAGTTCCCACCCATTAGATAAAACCCCCAAACACACTGCTATCAAGTATGTCACAATTCACAGCAACTGTACAGGAGGACAGAGCAAACTTAACGGTAAAATTTCTAAGGCTGTAAGTCTTTATGGAAAATGATTATCAAGTCTTTTCTTACAGAGCATCTGAGTTCTAGACACTTAAATTTCAATTAGTAGCCAAGTACTTTAACCATTGTGTGCCCTGGGAGTCCTCTCTATAAAACTCAAAATTCATTGCCTTTCATTGGGAACTGACTCACAGCTGACCCTCCATTGGATTTCAGAGGCTGTAAATAATAGGAAAGGAGAGCATGTGCACTTTGCTCTCCCAAAGCCAATAGTGAAGGTGAACTTCCAGAGACTGTTGGCCTTTTTGGGGGGCAGCATAACATGTTAAAAATAAGAAATTAGGGACAGACTATATATCTAAGTTTGAAAATAAAAACAAATATTTTCATATACTGACAAAAAAGCAATGCTACAGAGACACTGCGTTTGGCTTTCTATTAAGTTTTCAACTCCATTCCTGCATTTTGGTGCTAGTTACTTTAAGTAGTTTCAGCAACTTTCTGGTTGTTACACAGACAATTTATATAACTTTAAAATCTCACTTTTCCACTACATACATACCCTTACATGTTGTTTTAATTATCTGTTGTTGATTGCCATATGAACCAAAGGCCTGAAGCCTTTCTATAACTATCATCATTTCGCTAGGTTCATAGAGTTTCCAAACACACATGGTTTAGGAAGTGAATACCACTTCTGCTTCCAAACTCCGAGTCAATCTGGGAGCTCCACCAAACACTGCCCATGATCTGTAGCTGGTTATGGTTTTTGACCAGCTGTGGCACAGTTCTCCATCACAGCAACTCTTAAGTTACTTCAGTACAGCAAATAGATCACTCTAAAATTTAGATTACTTACTAAATATTTGAAATGTGACTACTTAAAAGTCTAAAATAAATACAAGGTTTTGACGATTCTGTAGGTGTGTGAAATACCTCATTGATACTTTTTAAATTAATTTTAATAAAAGTTTACAGAGACTTAGGGTTTCCAGTCATTCATTGTTGCACTTTTCTCCCTGTCCATCCCCACCCTCCCAATTCACTCTTCTTGAAAAGTAAAACTCTTTCATTGTTAAGCAACACCTCCCCTCAAGTCCACTCCACTATGTACCCTTCATTCTGGACTTCTGTAATGACAATAAAACCCAATCATATATCGCTTTTAAACAGTTCTCTCCCTCATCTGTTTCAATGCAGTAGACATCATTCCTTCCTTCCTTCTCTGCCTTCCCTCAACCCCAATATCAGTCGCATTTTACAACTGTGGCCCTATGCAATATTTGTCCTTTTGTGACTGAGATATTTCAATCAGCATAATGTCCTCCAGGTTAATCCGTTTTGCATAATATTTCATGAGTTCCTTGTTTTCAGTGCTGCATAGTATTTCAGAGCTTCTATATTCATTCATTTGTTTATGGGCACTTGGGTTGTTTCCAGCTCTTTGCTATTGCAAACAAAGCTGAAATAAACATGGGTATGCATATACTGCTTGGGTGGCAGTTATAGTTTCCTTAGGGTAAATTCTCAGGAGTGGAACTGCTGGGTCAAATTGTATTTCTATTCTTTTTGAGAAAGCACCATACAGCCTTCAATAGCGGTTGCACCATTTTACACTCCCACTAACAGTGAATAAGGGTTCCAGTTTCTCCACAACCTCCTCAGCTGTTACCTGTTCTGTTAAATTTTGCTATTCTTACAGGGGTGAGATGATATCTCATAGTTAATTTGTCATTAATACATTTATATTAGTGATGTGAAATGATTAGTATTTTGGGTTGTGTTATTATTTGGTGCCTAAGGCTGGTTCTGACCAACAGCACCCCCATGCACCACTGAAGGAAATCCTACCCCATCCTGCATTTTAGGTATCCTAGTTTAAAAATATCAAGGAGCACTGGTGGCCTAGTGTCAAGAAGCAGCGCTGCAATACTGATGGCATGCAGTTCGAATCTACCAGCTGTTCTGCAGGAGAAGTTTCGGCAATCTCCTCCCATGAGATTAACTGCCTCTAAAAACCCATTCTCTTCCAGTCAGTTGGCGAAGTGGTTGTTCTCCAGATTTCTTGGCACAAGTTGGTGAGCACATCCAGGGCAGCATCTGTTAGCTGAAATATGTCAATTTGTATACCATTTTTCCTGGAGACTTATTTTTTGCAATTTCCTTCAAAGCAGCCTGAA